TCTAACTGAAGTCGACCTGGGAGAGGTCTGAACCTCTCAGCCTTCAGCTTCTTACAATCTCCTAGGCCACGGTGATGCCTCAGGCGCAGGGGCCACATGTGGAGAGGCAAGAAGTGTCATTCCATCTAGTGGCCTGGCAGGTCAGGAAATCCACCAGCAGCATATTTGGTCCATCACAGAATTAATGTCCGACTGTGTTCCTAGAAATCTTGTTCATTGGGCAGAGTGGAGAGTGGTCCCAGCACAGGTATGTAAAGGCAGCGTGCTTCATTAATTCCGCATCTTGAGGTAAGAATTCTGACTTTGGGGCTGGGGATATAGCTCAGCGGCACAGCATCTACCTGGCAAGCTCAAGGTCCTAAGTTTGATTCCTGGTACCAAAAAACCACAAAGAATTCTCTTTGCATTAGGATTTCTCTTTAAATCAGGCTGTCTCCATGTCTGTGGGAACCATTCTTTCTTGGCAGGGCTGGCCTGCGTATCTATAAGACGTTGAGCAGAACCAACCACTGGCCTCTCATCACTGGACGCCAGAGGCACTCGCCTCTCTGGCTGTTATAACCAAACATGTCCCCTAAACCAAGCCCGATAGTGCATGTCTGTAATGCCAGCACTCGGGAGGCTGAGGCAGGAGGATTCCCATGAGTTTGAGACCAGCCTGGGCTACATAGTGTGCTCAAGGCCAGTCTGGACTCCATAGTGAGACCCTGTCCCAGAAAGATAAAACCAAACACAAGTTCCCTGGAGGGCATAATTATTGAAAACCAATGACAATGCTAACATGAGCATGTTGGCTACCTGCGTCTGAATCGTGCCTGTGTTTTGCTTGCTGTGTAAGCTTGCACAAATGCTTACACACTCACAGTTCTTTCTTGTGAAATGGAACAGACAACAGGGCTCCCTCAGAGCATGGCAATTAAATTAAATGTATGAGCGCGTGTGTATAACAACACACCTCGGAACACAGTACTCAGTAGTTGCAGATTTTAAAACGCCAACTTGGGCAGAGGCGATAGCTCAGCGGTCTAATTGCCTGCGTAGGCAAGTGCAAGGAGGGGAGCTGGATCCCCTGTACCACATGCCATGCCAGCCCCACCCTGGGGGGCAAAGCAGGCCACTGAGCTGGGGCGTGGTGGCGCACGCCTGTAATCCCAGCGCTAAGGAGGCTGAAACAGGAGGGTCACTACGAGTCCCAGCTGTGCAGTGAGACCCTGAGCCAAATACATAAAGTGAAAAAAAAAAGTAAAAAGATAAAATCCCCAACTTGTCAATACAAAGGAAACTCCCAGGATCACATAAATGAGACCCTTTAGAAGTATAATTGGAACCTTCCTCAAGAGGGCTGGTTGTTCTGGGGAATGCTCGAGACGTTTCTACAGTTTCCAAAGCCAAGTTCTAGAATTTCAGTCCTCTGTTTTAGAACATCGGCTGCTTCTTCGCTATCACCAGCCACGAAACAAAAGGCATGGGCTTCCCAACCGGATGAATGCGGGTCACGCGCCTGCCCCAACCATTCACAGTGGTCAAGAGGATGTCCCCAAGGGCTGCTTTAGGGGCGCACTCCTCGCACACGAGGCACCTAGGGGAGGGTCATGCTGGCTGCTAACCCGGCCCCTTCCACTCCTTATTGCCGGCTGGAGGGAGGCTCCCTCGAATGCTTGCAAGAGCCGGCGAAACTCATCACTTGAATTTACTTGTTACAAAACATAAACCAGTATAACTCTTCTCTACCGCATTCCTATAGAACACGAGAAAACGACTGGAAGAAAAAAACGGCTTACGATTCTGAAGTTTACAAACGTTTGATGAATT